ATTTTTGCAGAGCTGAGTGCAATTTTGTCTGTTTTATAAAAGAGAGCTGCCTTCTTTTTTAATTAAACTTTTAGAACTTTTCTTCCTAAAGTGCCTAAATAGAGTAATTCTATTTCAAATATTACCTTATATTTATATAGGGGCTCCCAAATATTGGTTCATTACATTTTCCTTCTGTTATTTTGGGGAATAAAACCTTGACCTTCCTGAAAGCACTGATTGTGAGTTCCCTCAGCAACATAAATCAATACTAATACAACCAAACCAAGTGGGATGGGGAAATTGGTCTGTTGGACTTGACCATCACTTTGCAATACAGAAGGTCAGAGCTGTAGCAATGGTGATCTACCCAAGCTTGAGAAAATGACCCAGCACAATAGAAAATACTGTGTAGTAAACCAAGAAATGGCAGCCTAACTTAAAAAAAAAAAAAGTTAGCATTTTTCCCTCCTGCCTTCATGTGAACCAACCTTGCACTTCTTTAAAAACATCCTCAAAATGAGACCACGTGAAGAGAAGCCCATCAGCAGAAGGAAACCACATGGCTGAAAGCAGAGCCCACACGTGAGCTGATGTTTCTGGAAATGTTTAGGTCCTAATTTAGCCAGATGTATGTTAGCAGCATAACCACATAAAATATAAATAGTTCTAAAACATGTGGGGATGAGAAGTTTCATTGGTACAAGGCTGCAGTCACACTAAACATGACCCGTGCATGTGTAGCTTTACCTCTCTCCTCCGCCAAGGAATTGCTCTTCAGCTGAGAGCTGCCAGCTGTAAAAACTTCTTTTTGACAATGTGGACATGGGATGTGGACATTCACATTACTCTCTTGCAGCCTGTTCCCAACCTTTACTTTCAAATGTGGAAATTTGGACCCATTTTCAACCAGTCCAGAGCTTATGAAGAATAAACTGCCCTTTTAAAAATACTACTGTAACTTTTACCTATGCAGATTGCCAGGCTGAATTGTAAATGCAATCACTTGGCTTCCAGTGCACTCTAAAAATCAGGAGTCCCAGTCAGCAGGAATCAGTGCTCTGCACCCAGGTCCTGCTATTTCCATCAGTTTAAGCCTCTGTGCTGCAATTATGTGAATTGTCCACTTCTTCCCCCAGCCTCCTCCATGAAATGCATATGTAATGTAAACCCCATTTATCACACTGAAAATTGCTATTGCATTTAATCTTCCCAAAGAGACCAAAATCAAATTATGATGTGTAACGAATGATAACCTGTCAAATTCAAGGGAATACTCCCAACTTATCCCTCCACATCTAAAATAGAACAGGTCAAAGGGGTCTAGTGTAGAAGACATGGGCAGGAAGACATGATGTGAGAATACATAATGAGAAGATGAAAGCTCTCTAAATCTTTGCAGATTGAATGAAATCTAATTACATGCTGTATTGATTGTTGTGTATTACTGGAAAGAGACAGTGAAAAGGGAAAAAGGCAATTAGACTGAAACTGTAGTCTGACCTTCAATTGCTTTTGGCATGAAAGGTTATGCTCTACTTGGGGCATCAAAAATTCTTTATCCTCTATGTTGAATCATTAGCTACAGACTTAGATGCAAAACTGATTAGGGAAAAAAAAACAGTCAATTAAATAATTTTTTTAATTTTCCTCTTTAGAAAAAAAGTAAAGGTAAAGGAAGAAAATATGAAGGTGTTATCATTATGACATTTAATGAATTGCAACCAAGTCTAGCTGGTATGAGTTCTGTGTTGAATGACAATAAAATATATCCATCAATAGCAATACCACAGCAAAAAAAAAAAAATATATATATATATATAGATTGCTCAACTAGGTCTATAATAACTCTGTTTTTCAAAATAAACATTGTACCCAAGGTCAAACATCAGGAGGTAATACAAAGTCTCACCAAGAAAATTCCACTGACACATTTCATTGCTTTCCTTTCCCTTTACATGCTCCAATCATTTGCTTCCACCAAACCCAGCAGCAGCTGAGGGAAAAGAAAGCTTTCAGAAATACTATTTTTCCCAAGTTGATAAAAAACCAGAGCACGAGCCAAATGAAAACTATTGTTTGGGTGTATGTCTGCACGACTCTGCACAGGGAATCATGGCAATTCTCATTCATCCCATTCTAAAAACTCTTGTTCTGCCAAAGATAATGGCAAGGACTGGCTTCCTCCTGACTTTCATGCACTGTCCTCTGTGTTCTGCACACACCTCCACAGGCACTGCACTCACTGATTTCATTCAGACTGAAAAGTTAATGAGTTCTCAAGTGATCCGTTTTGGATTGCCTCTTTATACGTTTGTAATGTTACTGCCTGTGTTTCTTTTCCTTGCAGAAGGTACACACTTCTAAATATAATTTTCCTGATTGTATGTAAACAAATACGTGTGACAGAAACAAAATTCTGTGCAGCTGCAGGGCTGGTCTCTCACAGAGTGGCTTTTTATTGCACTGGATCATCAACAGAGCCCCTAGAAAATCCAGATAAGTTTTACGAGTTCAGGTCTCATCCGAACAGAAGAGAAAAATAAAATAAAAGAACACTGAGATATTACCAAAACATACTTAATAGGCAGCTCTAAATTTGCTGATCTCAAAGGGAAAGAACCAAGAGCAGAAAACTCAAATACTGAGCTGGGCTGACCTGCTGCAATGATAGCACTGAGCTGGACTCAGTCTCCTGCTGCTTTGAGGGGTTCTGGGTATGCAAGGAACTCGTATTCCTCCTGAATAAAATCTGTCTACCCGTGTCTGTCTCTCCACATAGAGGAGACTTCGACCCACCTCATGACAAAGTGACATCCAACACAGCCTCAGTTGGCTCTCTAAGCTTGTGATCAGGCAGCATGTGCAGGACAGGGGCTGAGAAGCCTTACTCAACATGAGGAGAAGCTGCAGAGTGTTTGTGTCACAGCAGCCCTGCCGTGTGACACAGCACAGCCCTGTCAGACTGGCTCCCCTGGATCCCAGGCTACCTGAGCAGCAGTGATGCCCCTTAGGACATGAATACTGAGTCATGGGATTACAAACAGAACAGCACTGAGCAAACCCAAATAGAGATGCTCGGTCCTGATTTCACTTACAGCAATGCAACTCTGATTATTTCAGTGGAGCACTTCCTAATTTCTTAGGAGTTTTTCTTTTTGTTGAAACAAGATGGGGGGAAAAAGTATTTTTTTGATAATGATGATGAAAGAATTAATCCACATTTACGTACCACTGTGTAATAATAAGAACCTCAACAAGCACATCAGAGAAAAACTAAGGGGAAATAAATAGGAAATTTGAACAGCTGAGCTTGAAACTTTCTGTATTTTTCTGTGTAAGAACTTCCAGGAAAAGAAGACTGCCTGCAGTGTTTGATATGACCTGAAGAAATAACGCAACACTAAGTTCAAATAATTTCACCATGAAGATGCATATCCAATAAATGGAATTAAAGAAGATGAAGAAAACAGTTCCCAAAAAAGAGGCATGCTTCACAGAGAACTTCCAGTCATTGCATGCAATGGTGCCTGCCTAGCACGGTAAGGACTCCTGCTGATTCTCCAGGGGATGCTATGCTGAGATGAACACAGCACAGCAAAATCCTTCCCAAAGTCTCCCCTGTGAAGAACACCAAGAACAAATCATAGATTGGGCCAAAAAACCCCATTCATAGAGCTGTAATGGATAAATCTTGCAGAGCAATCTGATTTAGTTTGGGAACTTTGTGGCTTGATGGAATTCACAAGAATGATTTTCCTCTTAAATCCAACATTCTTCAAAACTGTTCCAAAATATGGTTAGAAAATGCAGCCATTTACACTTTCCTTCTAATTCCTGAATGTGTGGGTTTGAGACTAGCACCCCACTCCAGGTTCCCCCTCTCTCTGCCCTGTTTATCCAGAGGGGAGCATGAGGGGATGCCTGTTCCCTAACACTTGCTGGCACAAACTGCACATTACCATAACAGCCTAACTTACTCAGATTTATACATTCATTCACAAGGTAGTAATAGGAAACATACTTTATGCTAACCCTCCTATTTGTCTGCATTTTGAGGCTACAGTAGCCTTCCTTAAATCAATGTTACAAGTAAGATTTCCACAAGCAGCCTAGAAGCACATATTAAACGTACTTATACTAAAAATTTTATTTGCTGCAAAACACTAAATGTTACATTTATATTATAATCTCATACAAAAGTTCACTCCTTCAACCTTTTCTTGTCCAAAACACTGCTGTACTTAATCACATACTTATTTACTTGATGTCTCACACGTAGAACTTTACAAACCTATGCAAATACAAATGCAGTAATTTTGAAGAATTAGTTTCTATATGAAATGCTATCTGTCCTATAACAACTTTGATGGCTTAACCTGTTTTAACTAACATGGGAGGGTTCTTTTCTTACCTACCAATATTTTTCAAGGCTGGTGAATTAGAATGGTAAGTCATAAAAAGAACTGGTGGATGCTTCCCTTCCTCGTCAATGAGTATAACAAATTTAAAAGGCAAAATCATTAGGGAAACATATGGGTGCTATGTTTAAACAGACCATTAATAGTGCACAATGTAAGAGCTCAGCAGAATGGTTTTAAAGTAGTTCTGAAACCAAGTATATGACTTCCAGCTATAATCTAACACCGTATTTGCTATAAAAACAACTTCCTATGCAGAGTTAATATATCCAGGCAAACTGTAAAACCTGGTCCAGTTTGTAGGGACTTGCTCTGATCCCAAAACCCCTGAACTGCATCCTCCTGAACTTTGCATCTATTGAGGAAGTCCTGACTTTGGACCAAGAGTTGGCAGACAGGCAGGGTGGTGGTGGGAGGCTGGACAAACCCCTCCAGCAAAACCCTGCACCACTTCTTGCGCTCGGTTTTCAGCACTTCAGCTCTGGGGTGGGTGCGATCGGTGCCTGGGCTCCCCTCCCCGGCGCAGGGACACTTCGGGGGCTCTTGCCCATCCTGCAGCACCTCCCAGGGCACAGGACATCCCCTCCCCGCCCCTCGTACCATTGAGCTGGTTGTAGACCACTTCCTCCAGGTGGTCCAGGCGCTGCAGGATGGACTCCCTGTCGGCCAGGCTGCCCACCTTGGCGCCGCGGCTCCTGGCCCGGCGGTCCGCGCTCCGGACGATCTGCACCAGCTCCTGGGAGCGGTCCTGGATCCTGCAGTAGACGGAGAAGAGGATGATGCCCACGAAGACCAAGATGTTCACCGTCAACAAAGTTTTGATTTTCCGTGCCACCGCCATGGGAGCCGCGGGCGCGGTGGCGGGGGGCGCATCCAGGCGCGGCGAGCGGCGGCCCCGCGGCCACCCGGCGAGGGGCGCGCCCGGGGCGCGGAGCGGAGCCGGGGCGAGCGGAGCGGAAGGCAGCGGAGCCAGGGGGAGCGGAGCCGAGGAGAGCAGAGCCAGGGGGAGCGGAGCTAACGGGAGCGGAGCCGAGGAGAGCGGAGCTAACGGGAGCGGAGCCGAGGAGAGCGGAGCTGTCCTTCAGCACCGCCGCGCCGCTCCCCGCCCCGCGCCCGCCGTCGCCCCGCGGGGCCCGCGCCGCGGCGGGCAGGGCGGCATGGAGCGGCGCCGAGCGCTGCTGCTCCCCGAGCCTCCTCCTCCTCCTCCTCCTCCTCTCCTCCTCCTGCTGCCGCTGCCGCTGCTCCCGCTCGCTGTCCGCCGCCCCAAACGCAGAGCGCCGGTGCGGAGTGACGTGCTCCGGGGGATCTCATCTACATGCACACGGCGGAGCCGCCCGCCCGCCCCGCCTCGCCCGCCCGCCTCCGCGCCCTGCGCAGCGGCCCCGCAGCGCCGGGGGCCGCATCGCGGCCCTGCTGCCCACCCGGAGAGCGCCCGTCCCGCCCGAGCGGCGCCGCGGCACCTCCTGGGGGCGGCAGGGCCGAGGTGTCCTTGGCTCCCGCAGGGGAGGCGATGCCCCACCCGTCGCAGCGGTGGAGAAGAGATGAAACAAGTTCGCACGCTCCCAGCGAGAGAGGGAGATGGAAACGCACCCAGCTCCGCGGGTTTCCCAGCAGCCCGAGTACGGCACTGGCTTGGGGTCCTGCATGGAAAGGACATGGTTAGCACCTCATCCACGGGCAAGAGAAGTTCTTGCCAAGCATCCAGAGAAATATAGACTCATAAAATAGTTTAGGTTGGCAGAAATGTTGAAAAGCCCGTCTGCTCCAAGCCCCCTGCTCATTGCAGGGACAGCTTCAATTAGTTCCCAGAGGAATTAGGAATTCAGTTAGGTTTCCCAGAGCCCTGTCTGAGCTGACCTCAAATATTTCCAGGGATGGGGCACCCACCACCTCTCTGGGCAACTTATGACAGCATTTTACCACCGTCATCAGAAAACATGTATTCTTTACATCTAGTTCAAATTGATAATCTCTCAGGTCATAACTATTAACTCTTTCATCTCAATACCTATGGGCATTACATATGGCCTTTCAAAAGCTTCTCCATTTATGTTCACAGTGATCCTCCTTTTATACAAAAAGATATATCCATGTCACTTAGAGGGTTGCATACCCTAGGGTATGTCCTGGTCCTGGGAATTTTTCTCCTTTCATCCTTCCTCCTGGTTTCAGAAGCAAATGTTACAACCTCCCCGAGTTCATTGAATCTTGACAAGTCCTGCTCAGGGTTTACTGAGATACAAATTCTCCACTGCTTCTGACCCTCCTGCCGCTCACCTTCTGCAAGACCCCTGGGGGTGCAGTTTCTTTCCTAGAGGAATTCGCCCCTGTTTTTTTGAGGATCACCAGTGAGACCTGTGTTGAGCAGAAAATACCTAAACTGGAGTTTCACCATCATGTTATCTTATCCCTGGAAGAAGATGACACAAGCTTCTGCAGTGTCATCTCTTCCAAGTATGGAAATATATACAGGATTTAGCTATTTCCTACATTACTGGATTCTTAAACACAAATAATGCCTAGGTGCTGGATCAGATCTTTCACTCAAGCTGTAGCAAAACTCTCTTAGTCACTCAGCAGAAGCAGCTCAGAATCTGAAATTTTCCAGTGCTTTGATTATTTCAGTAGTATTCTTATTGCAAATCCCTCACAGCATTACATTTTCCTAACATATAACAATTTGGTTTAAGAAAATATTGAACTAATACTCAAGTACAGCTTATTTGATGGCTCCACAACATTTAATATATTATAGCAACACCTGCTGGTCTTGATATGGTTAAGAATCTATTACATCCCTATTTCCATTATAAACTCCAAGTTCACAAGCTGGCCACAAGAATTCAGATTGGATTCTGACACGAGTTTATAGTTTGTCCCAAGGCTTATAAAACACCTTCAACTTTCTCAGAGAATTTACCAAGTTTTGATGAGGATTTTTTGCACCACTGCAGTTTTAAAGTGTCTTTCACAGACATGACTTCATCCATGACTGCCTTAGCTAAAGGAAACCACTTTTTGACCTAAGTAAATTCCTTTAATGGTCAGCTTAAAATATTCTCATATTCTTCTGTACACACCCCAGACTATGTTCACATGGCTGAAACCTCACCCAGTATCACTCAAATAATAGCGAGCTCGTGTAGCTCACTGTTCCTTCAAACAACTCAAAACAAGTTGCAAAAGAGATACTAGAGCTGACTGAAGGACAGCAGAAATGTTTCTGGACAAATTTCATGACCAAATGATATTTTATATTTTCCTTGGAACCAAACAAAAAGGCACTGTGATATTTTCACACAAACAGCACTTGAGCTGAAGCCGCTGTTTCCCTGCCCAAAATGGTCAGGTTCCAATTTTAATTCCCACAGAAAATACTTATGTTGCCAAAAGAAAATTTGATCAAAATCAATATATGTAACAGCTGGATTTCAGTGAAAATGCTCTACCTGAAACCACAGGAATCAGCTCTGATTGCTGATCCATTCTGCAGAGATCATGGGAAGGCATTGGTAGCTGTTCCCAACCAATGGATCAAGCCAGAGGCAATGCTGGGATTCCATTCCAAACCACAAATCCAGTTCCTCTCGCTGATTTTCACCCCTATTCATCCCCAGAGGGTTCCTATTTTCATTCATCATTGAAGATGGATCAGGAAGATGCTGTGAAGGCACACCAAGACACCGTGCATTCCAATGGCAGCCCACAGGCGATCACACTCCACATCCCTGTGCTCCCACTGTCCTCGGCCAAGGAACGCCTGGATGAAGGACAGCTGGCTGCAGATGTGGTGCCAAACAGCCAGAGGTAAGGACTCTGAAAATCCAGTCAGCTCTCTGAAATATCCACCTGCCACAGGCATCTCCCCGAAAGCAGCAAAGATGGTTTATTGCCTTGGGGCACTTCTGAGCTGCTACTGGGCTGTCAAACAGCTGAGGCTGTGATGGTAACAGCAGCATGTAAAACCAAACCTTGTTGTTGTCTGGGGTTCTCCTTGCAGCTCTGCTTGGTCTTGTGCAACGTTGACCTTACAACAATTATATTTGCTTCTGTTAACTCTTGGTTACTGCAGAACGCTCCACCTTGGCATGAAGATGTTGATACAGAGGAAAACTTCAGCTGCTTCTGCATTTAAAATCCTGGTCTACTTAGCTACTGAGCTATGAGACAGAAAATTTCACTTAAAATAACAAGGAACTAAAATGTTTTGAAGAACTCTAGTAAAGCATCAGTCTTACAGCCATTATGTACAGAGCCTATCATGCAGCTTCTCAAGGCAACAGACTCCAAGTCAACCTGACCCAGTTCATTTGGAGCTACAAACCTCAACCAATACACAATTTATGGTTTTTTTAGCCAGCTACTGAAATCTGTAGATTGTACAATAACTGAGTATGAACATACCCACCATCATCTGGATAGTTCTCAAGTTGAGTTGTCCCAAAAAGTGCTCAGAAAAATATATTAAAAGAGATCATGTGGAAGTGCCATCCCTACAGCAGAACCCTTGGAGGCACCACACCTTTAGTCCCAGGTGTGGTGAGCACATGCTTAAATAACCAGTGAGTTTCAATTTTCTATGAGGTGTCTTATGTTGAATTTAATTTTAAATGAGATGAAGGAACTGGCTGATGAAACAAAAATGTAAGATTTTACTTTTGAGAAAAGGCAAGAAGAGGCTGATTAAAAAGTTGCTTGAAAGTTTTTTGAATTTTAAAAAGCCTAGGTTGAAAAAAATTATTGAATTCAAGTTAATAACCATAAAATCATTCCCAACCACTTTTCCAAAAGGACAAGATTGATTCACCATTTCTAAAGAGACATACCTTTCTGATCATCCTGCTGCATGATATGAGACATTTGCAGGAATGAATAATGTGTAGAACGGAAGACTTTGATGTTTCAAGTATTTGAACACTATCTTTAAAGAAAAAGACACCACAGACAAAATATTATGCCAGTGCTGATCTGCAACTGCAGATTCCAGCTGTAGTTACTCACACACAGACATCACCTACCGTTTTCCCATGAAATCCCAACTGCATTTGCTAGGACTTTGCTTAGAGTTTTAACACAGACTAATATTTTTCTACTTAATTTTCTACTTATTTAGAAGAAAACAGCAGCAAAAGCAGCCAGCAGAGTCTCAGATCTGTGGAGCACCCAGACACACAGAGCTGAGGCCCTCACCCTGTTGCAAAGAGGCACTGCAGCCCCTCAGATACTGAGATGCCTTAAAATCTGAACACACATTTCAGAAATCATATATATAAGTGTGTGTGTGTGTGTGTGTGTGTGTGTGTGTGTGTGCGTATAACCATTTAATTCTGGCTGTAATTAATCACTTAATAAGTCAATAAGATTACACAGAAGTTTCATACATGGAATTTGGGATGCTTCCTCTAAAACTGCAGCAATTCCCACTTGCACATGGGACAGTTCTTCAAATGTACAGCTCATGCTGTGTTCCTCCACCTGTGGCTGTGACACAAATATGCACTTCTTTTATATTCCCCCTGCTGCATTAAAGCTACAGGTTGACCCTGCAGAGTGAATTTATAATAGACAGCACAATTGCCAGCAGATCTGCTGCTTTCAAGCCTGTGAGATTGTGCTGATGACCACCCTGTAGTAAAAGCACACAGATAAAACTCAACAATTATCCAAACGTGCATTAAAACCCCCAATAAACCTGTCATTGTAAAACCAGAATATAAATAATGCCAAGACTAAAATATTCAGCCCACATACTTACATTTTACAAAGCTCTAATTTATAAACATTACAGCTCTCACCAATTTTAATAAGAATTGAGTGGAGCTACCTTTTTAAAATCCAACTGCATAGTCCTCCATCCATTTCCTATTGTTATCTCCTACTGTAATTCCTGAATAGC